TATTCTGTTTGTAGAGATCCAGATCTTCTTACATCTCAGGCTGGTTTTGTGGGTGCTCAGAGTGGTCTGGTAGATATCCAGCTCAATTCCGGGGAGCAGTTGAAATAGGGTCCCCTACTCCTCCACCATCTTTCCCCCCACCCTCAATCTTGACTTATTTCAAATGGCTAACTACTCTGCTCAACCCAACTATTAATGCTTTTCAGTTGTTTTTTCTTAGTTAAAGATTTTAAGCCTATAGGTTTTGAAGTGCTTTGGTTTCACAGTATATGGAGTGTCATCCTGAGAAGAGAAGGATGTTGAAAAATAATATAGTTATTCAAGAATTAGGACAGATTGTGAACAAATGGGGACATATTGCCCCCAATCGGGGACAAGCTGGGAATAGCTGAGGGTAATCAGTAAAGCAAGGGTAACGTGAATAATCCAAGAAGTTCACAATAGTTTCAATCTCCAAATGTTAGGCAATTGAGTTTCTTTCCTCCCTATTCACTTTCTGAACATTGACCTTGTAGTTCTTTAATTTTTGACACTTTAATTATAGTGTGTCTTGGCATGGGTTGGAACTCTCTGGATGTCTGTTCATTACCCAGGTTAGGGAAGTTTTCAACCATTATTTCTTCAAACAGGTCTTCTGCCCCCCTTTCTCTCTTCTTCTGGGACCCCTATAATGTGAACGTTTGTCCGTTTGATGTTATCCTATATGCCACTGAACCTATCCTTACTTTTTTTTTTTCTGCTCCCATTGGGTGAGTTCCACTGCCCTATCTTTGATTTCACTGATCCTTTCTTGTTCTTCATCTAGTTTGTTGTTGAACCCCTTTATTTTATTTTTCAGTTCAGTTATTGTATTCTTCAGCCTGTGATTTCTGTTTGATACTTTCTTATATATTCCTTCTCTTTGTTAAAATTCTCACTTTATTCATGCCTTGTTCGCCTGACTGTGGTGAGCATCTTTATGACCATTAATCTGAACTCTTTATCAGGTAAACCACTTATCAGTTTCATTAAGGTATTCTTCTGAGATTTTATCTTGTTCTTTCATTTGGAACATATTCCTCTGTTTCTTCATTTTTCTTGACTTTTTGTGTTGGTTTCTATGCATTAAATAAAACAGCCACCTCTCAGTCTTGAAGGAGTGGCCTTCTGGAGGAGATGAACCTTATTGTTCAACCCTGCCCTAGCTCCTGGTTGTCTCTTTGAACCTTTGTGATTATCCAAGTGACTTACTGGTTCTTAGTGCCTCCAGTAGTTGAGGGTGGGCCCAGACCAGTCAGTGTACCTAAGGGAGGATCTCAGTCACCACCTAGATTCAGGCTCATTAGAAGCCATACCTTCAGGCAGCAGCTTTTAAGGTACACAAATATACTTCTTTAATGGGAAGACTGAGAGATGGGCATTTCTGTCTGCTCCCTCTGCACTGAGCCCTAGGGTGTTAGCCAGTTAGGAACTGTTTCTTTGTTGCTAGTGTCCTGTTGAACCCATGAACATAAGCCCCACTGGCACCCAGAGCCAGCCTATTAAAGGAATTGTTCTCTGGGCCGTGCCCACAAAACCCAGGATGCCAGATATGCACATGAGCTCCTCTCTTGGGGACACTGGCACCCTGCGGCAGGGCAGAAGGAGAACATGAACATGGTGTCTGCTGCTCTCCCTGATTTCTGGAGGGCATTGCAGTCAACGTCTAGATGTGTTCAGTTAGAAACCTCCACCCCCCAACACCCCTTCCGCACTGTGAAGACTGTAATGAACAGACATCCAGAGAGTTCCAACCCACACCAAGACACACCAAGACCTCTTTCAGGGAAAGACTGGGGTTTAAGCCTGCTGCCTCTGTGCTGGGCCTTGGGGGGTAGCTGGGTAAGAAGTACTTCTCCATTTGCTACAGTCCTGTGAGAGCACTGAACAGAAGCCCCACTGGCCACCAGAGCCTGGTGATCAGGGGGTGTCCCCAAGGTGGCAGCTGTGAAAACTGGGGCCCCAGACCCACGCACAAACTCCTTTCTGAGAGACACCTGGAGCGAGGCAGAGGGAGAGCACAAAGCTGGTACTTGCCAGCCTCCACAGTCTTTGAGAAGTATTTCAGTGGCCTCTGGAGGTGTGTTGTATTAAATGCCTGCCCCTCAGGCTGACTCTTTTAAGATAAACAACAGAAAGTCTTTCTCTTTCACAGAAAGACTGGTTGCATTTCAGTCAGCTGCCTCTACACTGTGTCCCCGGGGTTTAGTCATGGTGAGTCCACAAGACCCCTTTAAGATCTGTTTCTCAGTTCGTCGTAACTGTGTGGTCTTGTGGACGCAAGCCCCATTGCCTTTCAAAGCTAGATGTTTTGGGGTCTCCTCTCTCAGAAGCATGTCTTAAAAGTTAGGTGTCGGGTGTGGGGTTCTCAAGGAGAAGCTCGGGGTTGTGAGTTCTCTGCTATTTGTGGGTTGCCACAGTAAGAGTGTGGTTTATGGGGACATTGTGTCTCATTCTCTCCTATCCATTTTGGTGTCTCCCCCACCCCCCCACAAAGATATAAGAGTTGCTCAGCTGGTTTTTGGATTTCTTTCACAGGGAATTTTCCTGTATGTAGCTGTAGATTCAGTGTTAACTGTAGGAGGAGGTGAGTTCAGGATCCTCCTACGTCGCCACCCTGAACAGGAACACCCTGTAGTTCTTTGACTGAAAACATTAACAAGTCATCCAAAACAATGAGAAGCAGATCACCAGGTACGAGCGCTGAAGGGCTAGAAGCTCCTTCCTCTTCTCTTGCCCCACCCCATCACCGAGCTTTGGACTTGTGCATAACTGGCATTCAGTGAACGTATTTGAAAGGAAGAGGTGATCTGAGATTTGCAGCTAAGGGGCATGTTGGGTTGGCAGGCTTACACTGCTAGATGCTACTCCTGAGTTCTTCTGGGGACACTCTTGAGAACCTTAAACCACCTCAGATGCAAGACAGAAATAAAGAATCATTCTGGGGTCTTGGGCTGCTGTTTGTTAAGTTCACACACCACTTCGCAAAGCCCACCAGAGAAGCTGAGGAGTGTAGATGATGCTCGTTCCTTCACTGGGCCTTTGTTCATTGATGTTCCTGTGTCAGGCATTTCTAAATGCACTGTCTGGAACACATCTGCTCCCATCTCCACCTGTTAAATTTCTATTCATCCATTTGAACAAAAATTTCACTTTCTCAAGATTTCCCAGATCCTCTTGATCTGAACTGGATTCTTCCTGTTATATTCCCTCAGAGGACCCTACACACCACCTTAACGGCACTTACTGTATTTTGTAACTGCACACATTGTAGGTTACTGACAGCATGCTTCTCTTTCCAGCCTGTAGTCTTCAGGAGTGCAGGAAACAGCTGTGTGCTCAGCACCTAGTGCAGTGTCAGTCCACAGCGCATTATAGATCTGCTGTTAGGGGTGGGAGGGGTACATGGTTTTTTTTTTTTCTTTAAAAAGTGTGGTTTGACCTTGACACTTCCGTCTAAACTCTATTTAAGGGTATTAAATAAAGTGTTGAAACAAAGGGTATTCAAATAAAGGGCTGAAATAAAATTTCTCATAAAAAATACAACTAAGGGCACCTGGGTGGCTCAGTCAGCTAAGCGTCTGCCTTCGGCTCAGGTCATGATCCTGAGGTCCTGGGGATCGAGCCCCGCATCAGGCTCCCTGCTCAGCCCGGAGTCTGCTTCTGCCTCTGCCCCTTCCCCTGCTCCTGCTTTCAAATCAATCAATCAATCAATCAATCAATAAAATCTTTAAAAATATAATTAAGAAATGAAAGTTATCTTTTCTTAGTGACATCAATGTATAGGGAAGCTAAAGAGAGAACCTATCTGGGTTACAAAGCAAAAAAGCCACCAATCTGAGCTCTGGTCATAAATATTTAAATTGTATAAAGAATAGGTCTTTATATCTATTTTTATGAAATTTATTCCCAATTTGAAGTGGCAGTGTATACAAAGATAACAGAGCTTGTGATATTTTACAGAAACGTTTACTACAACATGCACATTATGAAGTGTTTCAAACATATACATATTAAGTTTCATGCTGAATAAATAATCCCCCAAATTAATTTTTATTTTTACATAAAAATATAATATTGCACTCTTAACAAGACCAGTTATTTTGCATATTTTCTCTTTAAATAAATGATGGCATTCAGCCTTAAAAAGACAAAGAAGACTGAGTAGCAACCCTATTCTAATAGGGGAATAATTCCATGTTCTTGGTAGAAAAAACGAAAGCCAGACAATAGCTGCAATTTTTTTTTTTCTTAAACAAAGCAAATCACTTCAACGTGAATAGGAATCATCTCATCTCTGCACCTATCTGGACCTCAGAGTTCCAAGCTGGTCTGTGCAAATGATGATCTAAGTGCGGCCTGTGAAGCGTTCTTATGGACATATGCTGTCCCAGTGACAAGCACACGGGGCCGCTTGCTTCCTCTTTCCCGCATCTCCACAGCAGAGACGTTGGAATTGTGTTTTATATGGTTTTTAAGCAGAATGTTTTAGAAAGTCTGGAAGTTACAAAAGTAGTTCTGTAAACACCGTATGAATTGAATTTCCATAACAAACACGCAAGTTTTTCTTATGCAGGAATACATATGTTTATCCCGTGGTAACATCTTACTATTTTACAGTGTTGTCAAAGCCAAAAAAGCAGCACCCCAAGTCAAAATAGAGCCATAATGGTAGAGACAGACTATGGTAGAGATTTTTAGGAATGCTGTCTTTATGGTGTGCAAGTTTTCTGTGGCGTATACTTAGATTTTTCTGTTGTTCCTAGAGTTCTCAGGTAGTACAGATTAGCAGAAACAGAGTGCACACAGTTTCCTATAAGAATTACTCTGCATCTTGTTGGAAACGAAGTAAGCTGTCTCATTTCTTTTGTAATTCTGTTTTGCGCAAGAAAACACACCCTGCACCTTAGATTAAATCTCTTATCTAGAACGGACTCTTTTAATACCTGTGCCCTCTTTCTGCAGAGTGGAGGCTTTCTATTGCAAATTGTTAAGTATTCAGTGCTCTGTAAATGGTAGATATTAAATTATCATTGTGTTTAAATCTTAGTGACTCAACTAAGTAAGGATATTCAATATCTAGTGTTATGGATTTTAAACAGGATTTTTACGAAAAAACAGAATGTATCTGAAATCCAATGTGTGTTTGTGGCTGTCAAAAAATTCTGGTTCCTCTTTGAGCTAAGAAGGCAACTGGGAAAAAACTGCCTACCATCGAGATTCATTAGTAGTTTGTTTTTAGTATTCAGATATTCCATAAAATGGTGCAGAGGCACCTACTGAATAATCTACTTCTCAGAGAAAGCACTTTGCAAGTTCTAACTTCTGATCCTCTTCTTTACTTTGTGTGTGTGTTTGTGTGGGGAGGGTGGATTATCTTGGCATAAAACTTTTTAAATATAATTTTTAGAGAATTTTATATAAACAATTAGCTAACCAATTTAAATTCTACTGGTCCTTTTGGCATAATAGAAAAAAGGAGAGACCCTAATCCTTTCTTTTGAAGACCCCTGTGGGTAAACACTTAAAGAATACGATTTTAATTTATCATGTAAGACTTATATCTTGTTGGTTAGAACATACACAACCCTCTAGATTATCACTAAATTAGAACAAAACTGTTCTCTCAGGACCTTGTGAGGCTGCAGAATGTTCTGCAGATGAAGAGAGTTGGTCATTATTTGGATGATTTGTTTGGTCATCCATTTCTTCAAGTTCAACCTCCTAAAACTGGTGAGGTCAACAAATCTAGTTTGGAGCTAAAGTGCTTTGGAGAAGCGAGGTTCTCTCTCATTCATCCAGCTGCATAGCTGCTAAGGAAGGAATAGAACATTGGCTGTTTCAAGCGCTGCTGGTCCTTCCGACACCAGGCAATCACGGTCCCGTCACTATTCGCTGTGTACAGATGGTGGCCGTCACAGGAAAATGTAAGGCTGTCAAAAGAAATCCCATGTGTACATTATCTCTTCAAATTGCATTAGCATATTGGTGATCATATAGAAATTAGTGTAAAGAAGCTAAGATATCTTTACTGGAGCAGAGAGACCAATAAAATGGCAGTTTACAACTCACTGGTTTCTGCGGTAATTCTAATATAGTTTAATTGCTCTGCGGGCCACTTCGTGAAGCTCATTCTAACTAGGTGATACAGAATAAAATCAGATCAAAGAAATCAGTACATTCCATTCCTTCTTTATATATTTTCTTTTACCACCTTGTTTATGCTCTTATTACTTAACAAATACTTGAGCATAGGAAAGTTTAGATAATATAACCGTGCTACATTTTCTCTTTATAGAAATAAATGATGATTATAGGGAGATATTTTATTTCCCTGAAAAAGGAAAAGGTAAAAATGTAATGTTAATAAATAATTAATTGGAGTTTGTTAAAATTTAAATTTAGTGCATTGAAAATAAATTTAATGAAGTATAATTTGAATCACTTATTTCCGATTGATTTTTAAAGTCAAATTTGTTGGTGGAACAAAGGGTAACTGGTTGTTTATCAATCTTTTCAAGCACACTCCTGCAGCTTTCAATCACACCATTATGGTATTTTTAATAAGGAAGGAAAAAAATACAGTTTCTACAATTCAAAAACTTCCCTGGGCACTCTCCCAGGATGCCTTCTATTAGACTCGGAGCTCCTGACTCAGAAATTAAGCTCCAGAAAGACATGGACTGTGTCTCCTTGCTGTTTAGGACTCTCATAGCATAGTTCACAGTCTGTGTGCTTTAATCTCTCTCTAACAAAAATAGAGTTACAAAGTATATTATGAAGAATCTGGGGGTGGTTTACCTTACAATTGGCTTATTTGATTTAGGAAATGTGATTTCCCGCACAGGCTTTAGGTCCCATGTACTCCACAACCTAGAGAGGGAAAAAGTCATCATCTAATTATGCAAACTAAAATTTCCTTCACTAAAAAAAACCTATAATTTGTTAAAAATCATCTGGAAGGAAACACAATAAACAATAAACACAATAAACAATTAACAGTAGCTACTTCTGGGAAGTTTGTAGGGGGTGGATGTGGGAGTAAGAAAACTTGGTAAATTTTCATATTGTTAATCTTTTAAACAATTAATAGACAATATACAATTTCAAAACCACACAAAAGCTAAGTTTATTACTTAAAAATAAAACAGGAATCAGTGAAGAACCTATATCTGAAGGTGATTTTAAATCTCTAAATATTAAATATGAACATGCCTAGATATTTAAAGCTAATTTTTGCAATTGCTGTGTCCTTATGAACAACAGCAAACAAAGGGAATCTCAACTCTTCTTACCTTACAATTCCATTCTCTAATCCCCCGGCAATCACATTGATAGATACTCCCTCAGGCTGGTTAGAGAAGGCAACAGAACAGATGATCTCCCTGCAGTGGACATGTCCAACGAGGTCCCCGTTCACTGTCCAGAGTCTGAGGTCGCTGCCTCCACCAGCTAAAACACCGAAATTGTCCCACAGGTCACCAGAGCGTGGGTACGTCAGAGCCCACAACCCTGGGTCCCAGCAGGGCAACCCGTGCACCGAGCTCATTTGTTTGAGTGATAAAATTTACAGGCAGCTCATGACTGAAGCTGTATAAATAAAATTACTACATAATAAGTCACAAAGGGCTCTGCATATTTATCTAGAGACAAGGACCAGTGGAAAAATAAAAATAGATTAATTTAGAAATATAGAGCAACAAGGTAAATTAATCATGTATCTTTGTGTAATCATATTTTAGCAAATGAACTGCCAAGGCTGAATTTGAAGGTACCTAGAAAGTTAAACAATCTGCAAAAACAGACGAAAATATTCTGTGAAACCATCTGTAAGAAGTGACTTATGTGACTTTTGAAGAAAAAAAAAGTTATAATAAAGATTAGCTCAGTTAAAGGTATTTCTTAAAGAAAAAAAAAAAGAAATCTAATTCCTCAGAGTGTCTAAGATTGAATCTTGTAGGTCAGTGACTTACTAGACTAATTTTTTTCTTTTCAAAGACCATGAGTAACTAAACTTTCTGGAGTTTTCCAGGGGGTGGGAGAAACAGTAATTGCTTGCCATCTTCTATATTTGGGGCCTCATGATGATGTGTCTAGCCTTCTTTGGAGAAATATTCTCAAGCTGATAAAGACATGTTAAGAGGCACGGTAAAGTTTGGGAGCCATAATGTTACTCCACTTAATTTTATCTCTCCATTAGAACTAAAAAGTGCAGACTTTAACTCTCTCCTTTATTAAGGCAATGAAAAGATTGCATAGATTTCCTATTTTATAGCAAAGAAACAAACTGTGCAAATACTTTTTTATGTCAAGATACGCTGAAGACCTTCAAATATCACAAACCCAAATGCCTTCTGTGTTGCAGCATTAGTCACAATAGCCAAGAAGTGGAAACAACCAAACATCCAACAACAGATGGGAGGTAGATGTGTACAATGGGGTATTACTCAGTCATGGAAAGTAATGAAGTTCTGCAACATGCTGCAACACGGATGAGCCTTAACATGATGCTGAGGGAAATAAAAGGACATTAAAAAGACATAAAAGGACACAGATTGTATGATTCCACTTAGATAAAATATCTAGAAATAGGCAAATTCATAGTGAGCGGAAGTAGAATAGTGGTTACCAGAAGTTTTGGGGCAAGGAGGAATAGAGTTATGGTTACGGAGTTTCTGCTTAGGGTGGTGAAAAAGTTTTTGAAATAGTGGTTGCACCACATTGTGGGTGTGGGGCTGCCACTGCATCGTATACTTTAAAGTGGTTCAGATAGCAACTATAACGTTAAACATATTTACCACATACGTAGAGAAAAGAAGGTTAACAAATGCCCAGTGTTTTACTTAAGATTTCCCACCGATTAGGAGAGATTACCTAAATAAAACATCAGTAGGTAGGAGTTCAATATACTAAAGAAATACAATTGTAGACGATAAACTCCTCTTTTCCATAAGTAGATATTTCACTCTTTCTTTTGAATTTAATACTTGATAAAATATTTTAAAAATTTATAAAGCAACCAGATGTGTGCTAGTAAGTTTAGAAGGCTTATCAAAGATATTGATGTAGGGGTTGATCATTACCTGTAATCGATAGCTACTGCAGGCTCAGTCCTTCAAAACCAAAAATGTAAATGTGGGCCTTGCCTCTCTGAAATATGGTACAGAACTCAATAGGCAAAGAATCACCCTAGCAGATTACCCAGCACCTCGGGCTACCACAAAACCAAGTAACTACTCATGATACTACAAATATCAAAACTGAGGCCTTCACTCAAGACCAGATTACTTTCATGTATAATTTAGCATGTCAACTAAAAGTCAGAAAGTTGGGCATTCCTGAAAAAAAATATTTATTCTTCCTATACATCTTCACTGAAATTAAAATAAATTGGAGAATCACTGCCCACCCCGAGTTTCATAATATTATATTAAATTTATAATGCCACTGGCAACACATGACCAGGCTATGAACCCTAGTTAAAAGGCATATATTTTGATCCAGTGGCAGAATGATTTTTAAAAAATACAGAAAACATCTATTATAATATTTACATAGTTTAATAAATTTCACATCTTATCATTATAAAAACCACATCTCATAAGGACTGGCAAATTATGATCAAGAGGAAAGAGCTCGTCAGTGTAACTTCAGCCCCAACACAGAAATTTTATATACGTATGTGTAATGTGTATATACGTGCATACACACACATATAACATATATACATAAACATACATATGTTTTATTTAAATTTTGATTTTAAAATTACCTGGATGGTACTCACTAATGGGTCAAGATGTTTGATAGGCTAAATCTGATAACTTTCCTTCCTTCTTGGACTCTAAGACTAGGAAGATAAACTCTAGTTTGGGTCACTAAACATAAATTTGGCCTCTCTTTAAAAAAATCATTATTTTTATTATGTTCTCTATATACCAAATTCTTACGACTTCTCTTGTATATGTACCAAGAGGCCTTAAAAAAGTGGAGAAGGCCTTTTTGTTCATACTGGAAAAAAAAGTTCTAGCCATTACTCTATTATGCTGTTCACTCCCCAGGGACACCTGAATACCCTACTAGCGAGTTAGTAATTGCAGCAAAAGTAATTTTGTTTCTTGTTCCCTTAAGACTGGCTGATATAACATCACAGATATAAATCACTACTGGCAGCAGGAAAGTAATTAACTTTACAAAATTCAGCTCCCTAAGGATCAGTCCTAACTTTCAAATGTTGCCAAAACAAGAAAGTAGAGAACACTATATAAATAATCATTATATTATTCCCCCAGATTCCCCTTTGGTATGACATACTAAAAGCTGCTAATGTACAAATCAAGGGAGAACAATTAGCAAAAGTCATCAATCATCTACCCACACTTGTATTATCAAAGTCAACGGTTCAAAATCTTTCCCCTTAGTTATGACAATTAGGAAATAAAAATGTTTCCATGGCATTATTTTATAACTGGATGTTAAGATTGGCAAATGCTTCATACCTGATACCTTTAAAGCATGACTGAAGACATTACTTCTCCGGAATGTAAGAATTAATGAATGTTTTATAAAATCAACAATAAAACTCCAAGAGATAGCTGTAGTATAATAAAAAATAAATATTTGGTCTTTGTCCCAGGTCCCTGGCATAGAGCTTCTGAAAACCCTTGTAATTTACTATCTTTTTGTCTGCTAACAAGCTGACTCCTAGGCGGTAGGCCCTAGATAGCTTCAGGATGGGGGCCTGTTACCAGACAAACCCGCCATGAGGTTAGGAGGTTAGGATTTACAGTACCTCCCCACCTCTGGGGACAGAGAGAGGCTGAAGATTGAGCTCAAGTACCACAGCCACTGATTCAATCAACCGTGCCTACAGAAGGAAACCTCAGAAAAATCCCTAAGTAACAGGGCTAGGAGGCTCCTGAGCTGGTGAGCACATTCATGTGCCAGGAGGGAGGTGCACTCTGACTCCACCCAGACAGGCCCTCTGGATTTCCCCCTATATACCTCTTCAGCTGGCTGCTCATTCTTTTTTTTTTTTTTAGAGAGAGAGCAAGAGTGAGGTAGGGGGAGGAGTAGAGGGAGAAGGAGAGAAAGAATCTAAAGGAGGCTCCCCCAGCCTGAGCCTGAAGTGGGGCTCGATCTCACAATCCTGAGATCATGACCTAGGCCGAAATCAAGAGTTGACACTCAACCAACTGAGCCACCCAGGCGCCCCTGGCTGTTCATTTCTATCCTTTGTAATAAACTACTGTAGTTAAGTATAATGTTTGACTAAGTTCTGTGAACTTGGTCGGGGGTTGGGAACTCCCAAATTTGCTAACTTTAAGTAGTTAATGTCAGAACCAAATCGCATTGTTGAGCACCCAGATGGTGTCATAGGATTGGAGAACTGTTGGTGTGAGAAAAAAAACAAACAATATAAAACATGCAAGCAAAGGATAGAGGACCACTCACTATAGATACGTCAAAGATAATCTATACCGAGTGGGCAGAAAGAGATAATTTTTCAAAGGATTCCTTCGATGTTAAGATCCTTAAGAATAGAAATGCAAACAGAAAATTTATGAATTTTCCAACTGTTCTTTCCTGCTGGATGCATCAAGTTTTTAAATATGTACTACTTGAAAAAACAAAACCTAAAAACATAACCTCTGATGAGGAGAGATAACTCTGTCATGTAAATTTCAAGGCAAATTATACCTCCATTTATTATAATATAGTACTGTTCTCACTCAGGGACTGAAAGATATATATATTCAAAGCTGATCATTGGCTGATGCTTTGCACTTATGTTACGGGGAAGGTAGTAAAGTTAGTAGTTAAAAAGCAGAAGCCAAAAAAAAAAAAAAAGAGAGAGAGAAACAAAAGCCAAGAAACTCAGATAATTATGTAATAATAAGTTGCTTAACTTACATGTGCCCAAATGCAATCTTTCATATATCAGAAAAAGTTAAATTATGACAATACTAACTTTTGCGTAAGTTGGTCCCTAAATTGATGAACTCGCTCTTGGACCTTACTGTATTTTAACACACAAATATGCTATTACTACAGTACTTAGATGAGGTTAGGGACCTGAGAGACGGAATCCATCAGCTTAACCTACACGGGAGCCAGCTAATGACTCTGTGCTTTGGTTCTGGGCTTGCTCACCCGAATCACACACAGTGGCGATGTCACCAGTGGTTTCGCTAGCAGAGACGGCTGTGACTGGGCTTTTGTGTCCCGCCAGGCTCTGTACATAGCACAGCCTGAAAGACCAAAGACAAATTTGCAGCTGATCATTAAGTATATTTAGATTCTCTGGTATAATTCCTTCCCTCAGTGCCTGGACCTATTATTCATAAGGCATTCCCCACTGTATTCCTAATGGATCTTTTGATTTCAATACGATTACAAAGTAAAGTTTGTATTTCATGCTTAAAATGATCATAATGTAAAGATCTTATTTTAGTGCATCTGTTTCACACAGGAAGAACTGAAACATAAAGGCGGCAGTGTTTGAGTGGGAGACCTTCTTCTGTACCTGTTTAAATCCCATATGATGCAGGTTCCATCTCTGCTCACACTTATCATTATACTGTAGGGTTTGCAAACAAATAAGCTGGTTATCTCTTCTGTGTGCCCGTACAGATGTATCTGAGACTCCATTTCTATCTCTGAGGGCTGAAATTGAAAAAAGTCAGTGAAGTACAAGATAAAAAGCATGACAAAAGTTTTCCTAGTACTGTGTCTCAAAAATAAGAAAAACTCAAGGGACTCAAACATTCTTCTCAAGCATAGCATATTTTAATCCATTGCAGTTCAACTCTTTCCTAAAGAGTAAAACTAATTAAACATTAAAACATGTTTAATTGTCCATAATTTCAAGAATTAAAATGCTTTTTCATTTTTTGTCTTCTTGTCCAATCTTGGTCCAAATACATACAAATATTTTTATAGTTATGATAACTGCCATCCATGTAATTTTATATTTTGTGTTTAAACATTCTCCTATAAGCATTTTCTATTTTTGACATTGTCTTCAAGACGGTTTTAATGGTGTTATAATATTCTATACAGTTGATATACCATAATTTACTTGAGCATTTTTACAGATAGACATTTAAAATTGTTTCTAGTATTTTCCAAATTATAGATGCCATAATTAAATCCTTCATGTGTAAAAGTTTAGTTCTTCTGAATTATTTCTTTAGAATAAATTTCCAGAATCCTACTAGTGGGTCAGTGAATACTAATAATTTTATAGTGTACTTTCCAAAGGCATTGTACCAAGTCATGATGCCACCAAGAGTGACATTACCTGTCCATAGTTACAGATTGGTTTTCTCAATGAGAGGTTGCAAATCGGTGTTCCAAGGGCCACGTGGGCTCACAGACGCCAGATGTCTATACAAGGTTTGACTCTTGTTTTCATTAGACTAAGCTATTTATTGTCTTAAAGTATTTCAATATTTCCACCCCAAAGGATATAGAAAAGTAGAAAGAATAATAAGAAGCTGTATAGTGACCACTCAGTTAAACTAATCCTAATATTTTATATGATTGATTTTTTAAACAGAGAAAAAAATTAAACATTACCCAGTTTGTGTACTGTTCTATTTCCTCTCTTGTCAGAAATTACTACCATCCTGAATTTTGTATTTGTTTCCCACGTACGTAGAACATATGTTCTACTATATGTTGCCATAACCATAAACAACATATTGTATGATTTTTCATGCTGACAAATCACTTTCTATATGTGCTATTATTCTTCAGGTATCTTTTGCATCTTGCCTTTTTGTTCACCACCGCTGCAGAAATATATCTGTGTTGATATATTAGCTGCTGCTCATCCATTTTAAGTGCTATATAGTCCAGGGTTTTACTCACATAAAAATACATATTTTACACTAAAAGGATCAAATGACCAGGCAATACCAGCTCACATTCTTTCTTGGAACAACTGGCTTCAGCCGTGTGGCAGTTGGTTCTGTTTAGCTAGGACACGTGACGCTCAACCACACACAATCACAGAGAGGAGATGTGCTTTCACAAGGCCCAGAGTCCCAGGTCTGAGCCCCTGCTATCTCTCCTTGACTGTGACCCACCCCCACAAGGCCAGGCGTCTGCAAGCCAAAGGCCCAAGACCAGAACCCTTTCAGACCGTGCTTCAGGGTACCTGGGACCAAGGAACTCCCTGATGGAAAAGGCCTGAGCCCCTTCTCTTTCTGCCTGAGCTCTGCAGCACTTGAGTTTGTGACTCACTTCATATTCTAAGTCTCTGAAAATTTCCCAACTTCTAAATGTCAATCAAGGTTGCTTTAAATTGCATTTCTTTTATTATAACCAAATTTAACTTTTTCACATATTCATTTTCTTACATGTAAATTTGTGTGCCTGGTTTTGTGTATTTGTTACTACATTTAAAAAAATTATTTGGGGGTGCCTGGGGGGCTCAGTCAGTTAAGCCTCTGACTACCCACTAAGCGGAGAGTCTGCTTCTTTGCCTCTCTCTCTGCCCCTCCCCCTGCTCGCAAGCTCTCTCTCTCTGTCTCTCTCTCTAAAATAAATAAATCAATCATTAAAAAAACGAAAATAAAATAATTATTTGGAGGAATTCCTCTACTTGTGAAACAGTATGCAGATATCTTCCTTGTTTCTGCTGGACGACCTGGACCCCCATACCAGTCTACGGACACCCAAGCCAAAGTCAAGTCTTGAGATCGGGACAACCCAGGCTGTAATTCCATACAAGAGGTGGCCTGACTGGACTCATCCTCACTCTTCGGGTGTAGTCCTTCAGGGACCAGCCTTTGGAGAAGGGCCTCCTGGGGACTCTCCAGCTTGCTCAGTCCCTGGATATTGTTATCTGTTCCTCTCACAAGAGCTGTCCAAGGACAGTGTCAGTACTCCAGGACTGACAAATGCCCTCCAGGTGAGAGCCCCCCCCTGCTTATTTACCTCTCTGGCCTGGGAATTCCCTATTAGCTTGTCAGCAATTTGATGCTTTAGTCACATACACACACACACACGTCATGTGTGGGTATTTTTTTTTACTCCATGATCAAGAATATTATTTATAGGGTAAACACAGCATAGGAACCCCATAGTGGTTGTTGATAGCTTTACAGATCTTATACTTTAAAATGATTGTAAGAGTTAGCGTTACTAAATTCCCTGACAGGTCGGAAAACAATTTCCATGGACAAAATAGGAACCATGGACTACTTCATTTAAAAATGCTCTTGAGGGGCGCCTGGGTGGCTCAGTCGGTTAAGTGTCCAACTCTTAGTTTCGGCTCAGGTCATGATCTCATGGGTCATGAGATCGAGTACCGTGTCCAGCTCCATGCTCCACGGGGAGTCTGCTTGAAGATTATCTCCCTCTGCCCCTCCCCCCACTCACTCTCTCTCTCTAAAATAAATAAATAAATCTTCTAAAAAAATTGCTCTTGGATGACATACTACCACCTCAGATAAACCTTATATATACTCTCTGGCCACCACCGATTCAGAGAATGGAAATATAGGTGTTCACTTATATGAAGATGAGGTGGTCATACTATTTAATTAGTGGAAAAAAATGACTCAAGAGCAACTATTTATCACTTTTAGAAGACATTCCAGGCTTTCTGACATCTGGCCCCCATTCTGTGCTCTTCATTCTCAGAGCACACACATCAGTGTCCTGCAGTAACCTGTACGTGCTTGTCTCCTGCGAAGAGCCCTGCACCAAAGCCCACCTGAGCCACTGCGGTGTCCTCCTAGCTGGCACCCTTGACTCCAGTCTCATACCCTACAGTGGGCTTCCCAAAATGCTGGCTGGATCATATTACAACTGCTTAAAACATTTTAATGGGATCTTAGGTTAAGAGACGGAAACAATACTATGGTCACATTTATACCCCAAGGATCATGGGAAAGAACTTTAATAAGAGTTTAAAAGGGAGTAAACTTGGACAGAAAAGTAAGAGGAACCTAGCATCACCCCATGCTAGGAAGACTGGTTTCATCCAGTAGAACATATTTAATAATATAATGGAGAAAACTGTAATGGGGGGCAGAAGCAAAAGAAAGGTCTAGAATAAAATGATAATTATCTCAGTTCTAGAAGAAAAGGATAATTATCACCCTAAATTTGCCACTTATCCTCAACAGCACCACAGAGAGTTGATTCAAGAAAGGAACAACAGTAAATTAAGAGAAGTATTGCATAATATGTCTTTTCTTCACTAGACTGTTTTATAATTTTATTTTCAAATCCTGGAAATTCAGCAAATGGCTAAAATAAATTTCTTCCAGTAAGTGGTGGAAATCAAGATGGGCTACTTGGATTTTGCTATAGTCCAGAGACTGTAGGAAGGTTAAATATTAGGTGTTCTCAGCTTCCAAATTTTACAGAATCTTGCAGTGTACTCCTAAGCATTCAGGCCGACACCAAGAACACAGGCAAACAAGTATCACAATGTCATGAAAAAGTCTAAATACAAAACAGATCACGACTCAAAATATTACATCTTTGACACCAAAAGATAGGACTGTTATAATTATTTTCAAAAATTTTCATGATCCTAGTAAACCTAAAACTAAAGAGTCAGATATGTGACCTTTTACATTTTAAGAGCTTATGTGAAAAAAAGATTAAAGAACAAAAAATTGAAGCACAAACATTTTCAGTTACTCTTGTACCAATGAATTATACTTCAGGAGCCTTTTCTTCTTCTCATGAACACGAAAATCCTAAACCGCCCACGAAGTGCACCCAGGACCTACCGTGCTGCTGGTAAATCTGTTGGCGTAGGCCGTGATGACCCCACACTTGCTCCCAGCGAACAGGTGGCAACTGTCAGGCACCCAGGCACAAGTCGTGACCTGTGAGACAGGACAAACCAAAGACCGTCGTGTTCAGAAAGCTTGAGAAGTGTTTCTACTTCCCTGATGGTTATTTAAAAGACATACAGCCACAAAATGTAATAAACATTCTACTTGAACCGATTAAAAATGTACAAGATATAATAATACTCTGTAACGTTAAGCCAGATGTCTAAAGGCTGTTTCCGAGTTAAAATGTATTACATCATCATCATCTATGATTTTACATTTTTCTGTACACACACACGGCCACTTGTTCCTTAGAAATTTAAACAAAATGATCCAGGATTGACTAGATCCAAGGCTGAGTGTGTGTGTAATGTGCATGTGTATGTGGTTTCACACATTTCCCTGATTTTTACTTTTTTTTGCCTTTTTCTGCTTTTGGTGGGGAATTGGGGTACATACAAAGAGACAGGTATTGCTTCTAACAGTTCTTTTTTTTTTTTTTTTAAAGATTTTATTTATTTATTTGAGAGAGAGAGAATGAGAGAGAGCACATGAGAAGGGGGAGGGTCAGAGGGAGAAGCAGACTCCCTGCTGAGCAGGGAGCCCGATGCGGGACTCGATCCAGGGACTCCAGGATCATGACCTGAGCCGAAGGCAGTCGCTTAACCAACTGAGCCACCCAGGCGCCCTCTTCTAACAGTTCTAAAGATGGTTAAATAGGAGAAGAAGGAAAGATAAGTGTGGGGAAAAAAATCTCAGGTTATTCCTTTGGGATTGTAATCCCTTCAGTCCTAACCATGGAAGTGCTATTCAAGGCCACTCAACTCTCTGGCCCAATAAGTCTTCCTCTGGCTCTGGGCACCAGCTGATCCCCAGCGCCAGTCCCCAGCGCCTCAGCTCCCATGGGCCCCTTCTCCAGTCCCACCTGTCCCACAGCCCGCGCTCCCCTCATGCTGCACTGTGCTAAGCAGACAGAGGTCATCAGCCACAGATCTGAGCCCCTTCCTTCCTTTGTGCCTCAAGCGTCTTGGTGCTTCTCCTGATTTAAAGGAGGAAGCCCCTCTGCTTTTCAGGGCAGCCTGACACCATACCCAGAGTTCCTCAGAACCCTGTCCTTGCTCTCAGAATTTCAAGCTGTCTTTTGCTGGCTTCTTCCCCTCAAATGTCTGCTACCTTAAAAATTACTTGCTTTCATCTTGGCTCTTCTTAACTTTTGATACATCACCCGAGTCTGCTGGACCCAATTTCATTTTTTGAATTTCTTTCTTGAATAGTTCTAACTATTTGTAAGGATTACTATTTCATGACTTCTATTCTTTCTTAGAGGTCTTCCAAAGAACAAAGAGAAAAAATATATATATATATTTTTATATATAGAATAAAACTCAGTCTTGCAATTACCATATGGGTCTACCGAACCCTTTCATAAACCTAAGTTACATTACAGGGTTTTAATAATTTCATCTTCCCTCTGTCTCAAAACATTTTGCTGTTTCATCACTGTAGGAATTATTTCATGACTACTCAACAATTATTCCCAACTCTGCTAGAGCAAAACAAACAGGAAAATGCAGAATGATGGATCTCCTGGAAGGATAATGTAATCTGTAAAATAAACTGTCATCTTTTGGTTTTCTGATTGTACTGTCCAAAGAGTGGTATCATCTTTCAAGAAAATATAAAGGAAGACTGGAGACACTGCTTAGTACTCTGCTTTTAGCTTTCATTGAACACAACTGGGAATTCAGAATTTTTCATGTTCTACTGATAATAGAAAAGAGAACAAAACTGACAGAGGACTAGGTTTCACGATTATGAGATCAGTCAGAAGGCAAAGGCAAAGAAACGGCAGCACTCTAATCTCTAATGATGAGACCATGACCGTAGAAGTGAGATCTGAGTGTGGTCCTCAATATGATAACATCCTGGATGAGTTTTCTCAAACTACAGAACTACTGAGAGGACAATATATTTCTAAGGATGAAAATGGAATAGGGTGCTCTTATCCAGGCAGTCATTTGAGCGGAAGTTCTTTATCACAGAGTATTTTGCTAAAAGAATCTGGACAATCCTGTTTTGCGAAAAGGACTTATGACGGTGTTCTTTTACTTTTAATGATGCTTGTGTACCAAACTTTACATGATAGAAGTAATTTTGCAATGCTCAAATTTTTTTTTTTTAAAGATTTTATTTATTTGACAGAGAGAGACACAGCGAGAGAGGGAACACAAGCAGGGGGAGTGGGAGAGGGAGAAGCAGGCTTCCCGCCGAGCAGGGAGCCTGACGTGGGGCTCAATCCCAGGACCCTGGGATCATGACCTAAGCCGAAGGCAGACGCTTAACGACTGAGCCACCCAGGCGCCCCTGCAATGCTCAAATCCTTATTAAAAGTTCTTTTTTTTTTTTTAAAGATTTTATTTATTTATTTATTTGAGAGAGAGAGAATGAGAGACAGAGAGCATGAGAGGGAGGAGGGTCAGAGGGAGAAGCAGACTCCCCGCTGAGCAGGGAGCCCGATGCGGGACTCGATCCCGGGACTCCAGGATCATGACCTGAGCCGAAGGCAGTCGCTTAACCAACTGAGCCACCCAGGCGCCCCTTATTAAAATTTCTAATAAGGTTATTTTCCAATGTCCTTACGCTGCTTACTTTTGTTAGTTTATTGATAACCAGATAACAAAAGGTGATAACCATTTTTTTCAGGTACTTTGAGAGTTAAGCGAATAAGTCATTGCCTTCCTTTCTTTCACTGCTAAAAATCCCCACAAGTAGCAACTTACTCCATTTCTAACGTGCTCAGGGAATGGGGAAATGTTAGGGCACATGAATAGGCAGGAGATGTTATGTAGGCAATGGGAGTCAGGAAATGGCAAAAGAATTTCCCATGGAAAGAAAGACAGTCACAGAAAGAGGGTTTAACATACAATTTAGTACAGGAAAGAGTTGTGGCATTATTGTGTGTGTGTATATTGTGTGTGTGTATATATATAGTGTGTGTGTGTGTGTGTGTGTATAGTATATATATGGTATATATACAATTGGAAACATTTTTACAACAGCTTTAGGAGAGAGTAGTGGGGAGTATGATTACCTCAGTTTCAAAGAGGTGGAAAGTACCTCAAGTTTGGAAAGGTTAAGGTGCTCACCAAAGGCTACAGAGTAAATAATAAAGCCTAGACACTAACACAGATCTGAGGGCTTTAGTTGGGCCCGATGCTCTTTCAACCCATTGTGATGCCTACACACCCAGTCTATTTAGCAAAAACCAGGTACAGAGGATGGCACTCTGGTTATAGAAAATGACACAGTGACAAAAGGCACGTGAACACTGAGAAGAAAGCAGTGTTGATTTTGTTCCAACACTGTGCCAATCGCTGATGCTGACTAGATGATTATAATACTGTCTCAGTGAGACACTGTGGAGAAGACAAATTTTGGGGACACAGAATAGAAATAGTCAGGAAGTCTGAGCACTGTAAACAAGGCCTAAGTCCAGTGTCATAAACTTCTGGACTGGATTAACTGCAGAATATTAAAGACTAGCTGCTATCAGTCTGACTCCTTTCTAGAGCATTACACTTAATTATTATGATAAAGTACTTCGTAAAAATGTTTACCTGATATTGTTGTGAACTTTGTATAAAGTTTATTGGAGGCTCGCTTTGTTTACTCTTCAACCTTAAAATGTTATCAGCGTATCCCCAGCTCAGGATGGCTGACCACTGAATGTCAGTACTGTTCATGCTTCTCACACCTCAAGAAGAAATAAAAGTATCAGATTGCCGCCGCTCAACTCTTATTTGACAGCCCCCCAAAATGGCAGGTTAAAAGCTGAAGTTTACATAGCAGAACACAGTATCTTTCCAGAGCAAATCATCTTTCATCATTCATAAGATAGACCGACTTAAGTTCGTTTTATTCCTTTAATGCTAATGGGATTCTAAGAGTGGAACTAATTCTTTTTCACTCGTGGTGTTTTGGTTAGGGCTTATTTGATTTAGTACTAAAATGTCTGTTAAGAAATTTCTATGGAAGACAATGATAGTCAAGCTTACTCTGGTCATGTTCTGTGACAAACTAGACACTGTTTAAATAACTTTGTAGCCACCACCTGCTGACAAATCAGTATGGACAACTATCAATACTAGAAAGAACATTGCTACCCTAGAGAAGCAACAGCGGTCCTGGGAAGGGGCCATTTAATCCTGTCAACTGCCAGGGCTTTGCACAGCAGACTTTGATTTAACGAGGTCCTGCTCCTTTCCTCTTTCTCTTTTTTACAACATAGTTTTATGTCCGTTGGGATAAAGATTTGGACATTTTGACATCCCTTTTCAGTACTATTCATAATCTATGCCTTGTTGGTATGCTGAATGTGGCCAATGCAGCATAAATGCTGTAACTGGTGCTGTCCTTGAAATTTGCATTGCTTAAGTCCCTTAAGGAGAGAGAATGGGCTTTATTTATTCCAGCACCTAGCAAAATAAGGCCACATATAAGGGAATGAAACAAATACATACTTGTTGAAAGAATCAACAGCACAGTGAAAATGTAATTCACAGATTTTTGTTTTCTTTTGTTGAGTACAATACCAAATGTTGACATCAGTTTGGCAATAAAGGAACTGGAATATACTCACTTAATAAAAGCTCCTCTAAATATAAGCTGCTAGGGAAAGGAACCACATTCTATGAGGCTCAGGGCCTCTCAAATTCATTCTGTAATGCCTGGCATATAGTGGGCACTCAGTAGCCCACGTGCTCAATGAATGAAGTACATCTAGTAACTGCCCCCAGTTTCTCATTCCATCACTTACAAGATGCACCATCTTTTTTTTTTTTTTTAAGAAAAATAAACTTCTCCTTTACCTACTAGGACAGTGAATCTTAAACATGAGTTTGCACGAAAATGGGTGTTTCCAGCATGCCTAGGCTTGGACTCAAGCCCCAGAGATTCTGACACGGTGTGGCTCAAATGAGACCCAGGCAAGTATACTTTGGAAAAAAAAAGCATCTCAGGCAACTTGGAGGCACAATTTTCAAGTAAGGGTTTAAGGTCATCAAAACCGCCGCAGTTACATTGTTCTGTGCATGTATAGCTCAGCAAAACCATACAGTTACTTGATAAAGCAGCGCTCGGCACCTTGCAGCTGTAGCATGTGACCCGACCCCCCTCTGCAAGCAGGGCTCTCAGAAGCCAGTATGGGGTGGGTGAGCACTCCTCTCGTGCACTGTAAGATGCTGGGTGCGGCAGTGAGAGCTCGCATAGTCCCCGGGGCCCCGGGGGCCGGGGTGCTTACAGCCTGATGGACCTTTACTGAGCACTTAGAAGGAGTCAGGCACTATGCTAATCATTCCCTACATTATTTCATTTAATCTTTACAGTAAATTACCCTGTGAGGTCAATCCTTTTGTTATTCCCGATTTATAGATCAAAAGCCAGGATTTAGAAGGTTTAAGTAATTTTCTCAAGGTCAAACAGCTACAGTATCAGAGCTGGGATGCAAACTCATTGTATCTGTTGTATTATACTGTTGTGTATTATAATCTGTTGTATTATACTACTTCCCCACACAACCTCGATGCTGGCAAGCCCCAAATACATTCTACAAGGGAATAAAGCATAATTTGAATGAACACAGCTATTAAGGGCCCGGACTATAGTGGCACAAATAAGATAGGTTGAAAATTACATTTGACATATTTAAGTCCCATCATGCCAAGCGGTAACACCAGCCCTTTCTCTTCTGCTCAACAGAAACAAACTTCAATCCACTCTAATTAATTTTTTAAATGTAAATTACTGACACATTTTGGTACTTTAAGTGTTATTAGTAGTAAATTATTTGTAACACACCTCACAACTAAATGCAACACTGATATTACAGTAGTTACGATTAGACAGATTTATCTGATCCTATTAATTCACTAAATTTAGATAAAATGATAAGCAGCCTCTCTTACTACTAACAAGTATAAAGGCGATCATTGATTCCTGATATAAACAAGAGTAAGTCTACAAAGAACTGTGGTCCAGCCAGCACACTTAATTTCTTTGAGTGCTCTCTGCTCGGCATGGCTACTGTACCCTTATAGTGCAAAGCTGTACGTGGTGGAAGGCTCATGGACCCCAAGGAGTGAAGTGCGTCAAAGATCACGTTAAACCCAAACAGTGTGACTGTCTGGGAGCATCTAGTCCACACGCTGGCTTTTAGACACATCTGCACACACCTGATATGAACAGGCGAGCATCCTCATTGATTTTAGTGCCCAAGCCCAGGCCTAGGAAGTAGGGAGAGTTCTTTTACATTGAACGAAATGGTTAATTACATTAACCATAAAGTAATTACAGCACTTTTCCATGTGTTGTTGTTAGCGAGTTAGTGCACAGAGGGTGACAAAAGGATTGCTTTCCAGGCATGCCTATTTTTAAAACCTGTTTTCGAGGCTATCATGACTTCCTTGTTTTGTTTTGTTTGTTTTAATCTCATGACTATCCCTTCTGAGGTACTAGCTTTGCTGGCCAAATAACTCTGCCTGATCTGGGAGTCAAGAGCCTCAAAAGGTCCATTTCTAGAAGACTGATATTGTTTTCATCTTGTGAACATAACCATTTATTCTTGTCTCTGACTCCTCCTCTCATTTCAAATGGCACTGCATTTAATCTCCCCCTTTTCCCCCCCATGTGGTATGTTTAATTCCTACTTTGCACTAAATAACCACAAATTTGAACAATTTTTCACCATGGGTTCAAAACTTACACATAAAATAGTGGCAGAGATAAGCTGGAAACATTAAATCTCATGAAAAATACACCTAGAGTGATTCTCATTATGTTTTCTTTTACCTTGTTCTTTGCTGTATGTCATCAGAAGACAGAAATTTTGGGACAAACCACAGATGGCTCTGGTGGGCAGAGCCTGGAGAGAACCAAATCTTTCTCCGTGGGGCTGGCTGAAACAGACCACAGGTACTGGAGCACTTGGAGAACCTACATACTCCCCCCACTTCAAGCCTTTTATCCATGACAAAGGACTCTAAAACAGAGGAAAATAAAAAGTATGATTTTTTTAAAAAGGTAGTAAATATAGAATGACTTCTAACTTAAATTCTAAACAAAGAGTAAGCAACCTGATTATAAGCCCTCTGTAGGCAAGAATTATTTAAATTTTTTTTTTACTTCCCCCATACTTAGCATATAGAAATATATGCTCCTTGTTGCTAGACACAGCGACGAAAATATAGACGAAGCCCAGGCCTCATGGAGTTGCCTTCCAGCTGGGATGAGGGGCAGACAAGAAATAAACAGACACATGCGCATCAGGTGCTGAAAGCTCTTTTGAAGAGGGAGGGAGAGAACTGAGAACACTGGAGCTGCTATCTTAGATTCAGGGTCAGGGAACTGAGGAGGGGATATCTGAGCAGAGACCTGAAAGAAATGAGACAGCAAAATGGGGCTCGTCTGGAGACAGCCATCCTAGGTGGAGGGAACAGTCGACACAAAGGTCCTGAGATGGGAATGAGGCAGGTCAGTACCAGGGTCCCACTGTGAGCGGACACACGGCTCAGATCTTTACACGTACCAACTGCAAAGTTAGTTAGCTCTGAGTATAGTGTAGATTAAATGGCATTTATTACTTTTCAGGGATGTGCTTTTAAATCATTTTGGCATGATGAAAGAATAGAATAGAATAGCTTTCAACTACGAAACACAACATTGGTGATCTGGTTTTGGCAAAACAACACTATCATACGGATGTTTTAAATTTGAATTTTACTGCTTGTATCACTCTGGTTTGTGCTTAACATGCAAATTTGACATATGTGAGCTCTGAGCATAAACAATTTACATGTCTTCTGTGTTCTACATTTACTGTATTTAAGTAACATTATTTTAAGAAACAGTCGTCAAAACAAGGTCTATGAAAACCATTTTCTCTTAAAATGGGTCACAGTTTCCTGCAGTTGGGGATGTGTTGCTTTATGTGCCCACTAAGGTTCTTCCCAACCTCCTTCCCACACCTTTTCATTTTCTGCCATTCCTCTCCATAAACCCTTACATTTTATAATTCACGGGCTTCCATCCTCTGCTGCTTTTCTGATGGAAGAATTTAGCTCAGGGTTAGAATCCATTTTACTCTTAAGGTTTGCCTGCTTTATTTTTGTATTTCAAAGTAAACATTATGCCTACTTCCCAGTTTAAGAGGCAATACTTTTTACCATTATAATCGGGGGAGGCCAAAGACATATGTAAGGTTCTCCCTTAACTGTAAGCCAAAACATTCACACTTCCGGTCAGTACTTTTGGTGGAAGTTGGCCAAGGCCCTGCCATGAATGTGTGTACAGTCATGCCCACGCTCAGACCATTCTCCAGTCCTGGACGGCTTCTCTTCTCCGGTGGGCAGGTTCCTGTTAGGCCACAGCCCCGGCAGCCTTTCCCTGCTACTAGCCCTCTGGGAGCTGGCCGCCTGACCTGCTCCCCAGAGCCCCACCTTGTCTCATTAACAGCAATGACCACACACAGGGTATCACTGTTAACGGTGTGCGTCTGGGTTCATTGGCTGCCGTGCACCTTCAGGCCGGGACCCTTATACTCATCGTGGTGTCCCTAGAGCCTCAGAGGGGGTCTGACATCTGCAGAGTTGAGTCTTTTGCTGGATTCTATTGAAATTCAAATGACATACCGGATAGGTAATTTCTTTGACCTGTTCTCGGTTTTCCCTGAAAGCAAACTGCACTAGCAACCCCACAGCGGCAGGAAGCTCTCCTTCAAGGTTGAGTTTGGACCCGGGTCTGCTGGCGTGGGCCGACTGGAACAACTGACGAGGAGTCTGGCCATAGGTTTTTATCATGGTTTCCAGCGCTCGCCTCTGAACTGGATCTTCGACTGCGGACACATCCATGCCAAAATATGTCTGAAGGGTAAAAGATTAAAAGAGAACAAGAGGTATGTAAAAAGCAAGATTTGGAATGACACCAGAGGGGAAACAATAACTTGTTTTATTCTCTAGGTAGTAGTTTACTCTCCTCTATTTCAAATGGAAATGGTTTTTAAATGTTTTTGATCGGTTAGCATCAGAAACTAATATAATGTTTTATGTCAATTATACCTTAATTAAAAAAAAATCCATGGAACACTACATCAAAAACTAATGATGTATGGTGATTAACATAACATAATAAAAAAATTGAAAATGCAAAAAAAAAAATCCAAATGAGGTTTTTCTTTGGTCTTGTCTTTCAATGAGGACAGATGAAAAAATAAGCAAGATTTTCACTTGAGTTCATCCAAAATAACAAGCAGATTAGCAAGTGGATGTATTTTTTTCTGTAGCTGCCTGTCAGATATTGGTCAGAAAACTAGAGTGAAGAGTGAAGGGGTTACCCTGTCCTGATTTTCTCAATTTGTAGAAATGAAGACTAGAAGTTCAAAGCCATTTGTATCTGGCCTGAAATTATGTGATACCCAAATACTCTTTTGTTCTTTGACATTAATATGCTCAAAGAAAGATTCTGATTACTCTTCTCTCAAGACACAATGGCTGGTTTCATAGGATAATTTTCTGTTGCTAACTCATGTAGGGGCCAAGGGCAGGTTGCCCAAAGATGGACCACTTTGGCATATTGATTTTATTTCATTTTATTTTAAAGATTTATTATTTATTAGAGAGAGAGAGAAAGCAAGAGCAAGAGATCACATGACGCGGTGGGGCAGAGAGAGGGAAAATGAGAATCCTAAGCAGGCTCCATATGGAGCCTAACACAGGGCTTGATCTCACAACCCTGAGATCATGACCTGAGCCAAAATCAAGAGTCAGATGCTTAACCAACTGAGCCACCCAGGCACCCCAAGCATATCAATTATTTTAAATAAAAGTTACTTAGGAGATAGCCTGTGTAAGAAGGAGGCCCAGACCCTCCTCTGTCCCCCTGAAAGCAGGAAATAAATTTCCCATGTGAAAGGTACCCTCCCCATAGCAGGAGGTAAAGAGACATCCTTATCACCAGAGATGGGAAATTTAGAGTGGAAAAGGGTGTATAAACAACACTTGTTACTTTTCATTAATTTACTACCCTAGCCCAAATTCTCTTTAGAGATCCTTACAAACTGAAGCTCCCAAAGTTAAGTTTTCTTTGTCCTATCAATTCCTCACAGATTTATCATCTCTTTGTCTAAAAAGTGTAAAAACTGCCTGCCTTGGTCATTTCTTGAGGTCTTGATTTCATTATTGAGCCTCTGTGTGCACATAATTAAACTGGTGTTTTTTTCCTATTAACCTGTCTTACGTAAATTTAACTCTTAGTCCAGGTGGAAGATCTTGAAGGGTAGAGAAAGAATTTTTCATTCCCTTCACTCACACACACCATGTTGGAGATGTCTATGAATATCAGCTATTGAGGCATGTTTTCTTACACACATATAGACATTAGTAAGGAGCCTAGATTTTTTTTTTTAAGATTTGATTTATTTATTTGACAGAGAGAGAATGAGAGAGAGAGCACATGAGAGGGAGGAGGGTCAGAGGGAGAAGCAGACTCCCCGCTGAGCAGGGAGCCCGATGCGGGACTCGATCC